CCGGCCCCGCGCTCCCCGCTCCAGCCTCCCTCACGATGTTCCCGCCCTCCCCCTCCCCTTTTCCTCTAAAAATTATCCCCAAACATCTTTTTTAAAAATATTTCCTAACATAAATACCTATACTGATACCTATTCCAATACCTGAAAGTGTTCAGGGTTAAATCCTTAAAGCAAACAAAATTTATCGTGATAAATAAGAATAATGTCATTGCTTTATATTACATTATTATAATTATTAAAAATCTATACTCTTAAGAATGCAATATTAATTATTAATAATGTAATACTAATTTTTAATAATAGTTATTATTAACGGCAATACTGTGGTGATATTTCCACGAGGATAATGTGGGCTCTGGTGGAACTGTTTACTGTCCCTGACAGCTGGGCAAGCTGGGAGAAAACCTTCCCTAAATATCCTGCATTGAAATAAATTAATTATTAAAAATAAATTAGTAATTCTGCTTTAAAATATCTGGGTGAAAAATATTCCCTAAAAATGGTTTGGGAATGTAAAACTTCAGCAGTCCCATGAGGATCTGAAAGGTCAGAAACTCCAAAATGACAGCACTGAATTAATGAGTGATAATCATAATTAATGATCCAGCATTTCCTGTAAAATATCTTCTTTACCAAAGGAAATAAACACAGGAGTTCCCAAGCAAAGAAATATTTTGCAATAAAAGATCCAACCTGAGGAGTTGCAGAGTCTTTATTTTCAGTGATAATGAGCTAACAGCAGGAAAAATGAAGTAAATTTCTGACACTGTGACTGAGGGCACAGCACAGCACCTGTATTTTAAATCACTGTAATGGATGATATGTCCATTTAAATCACTTTAAGGGATAATATTTTCATTAAAGTCTCTGCTTTGCTGTTTTTTGCGGCATTGGGGTCTCACCCAAACTTTCTGAGTGCCTCTGTGCTCCAGCCCTGCTCAGGGATTACTCCAGGTGTGGAAATCCATTTTTCCTGATTCATTTACTCAAATTTTGAGTCAATTTTTCAAATTTACTCAAATCAAATTGACTCAAATCCACCTTTCCTGACTAATCTACTCCAAATATCTCCACTTTGGTGCCTTAATTACAAAATGGCATATGAAAAAAAAGAGATATTTTAGTTACAAAATCCTTCCCTTGTGCTCCATCATCCCAATGACTTCTCTGCAAAGAAAATAAAAATAAACATTGGTACCCAGCCTAGAACTTGCAGGGCACTTGAGAATTGATGGAAATAGGAAGAGATATTTGAAATTGATCAGAAATTGGTGGAAATAAAAGGAGATTCTCCCAGCTCAGAGGATGCAGGAGCAGCCATGAATTATGAATGGAATAACAAAAGATCAGGAGGGGTTTAGGGACTCATTAGAGGGCAGAACTTTTATTTAAACACTCTCATTTACACAACAGCTGCAGGTTTGCTTCCCCCACCCCTCCCTGGGGACAAACCTGGAGATCAGAATCAGCACCTAAATAAAAAGAAATAAATCCCAGGATTATTTACTAAGCGATTTGTGTGGTGACACAAGGAATAATTTGATTTTTTTGTTGTTGTTTTGAGCACCCCAGCGCTGCAGCTGCTTCTGTGGACACCAGGGGTGGTGCATAGTTCATAAAAAGGCCAAAAACTGCCAGAAAAAGGAGAAATCACAGTCGTGGTCTGAAGTTATTGCAGTGCAGATTTCACAGGAGCCTCAGGGAATGGGAATGAAGCACCAGGTTTGTGTTTTCCTCCTCATGGCAAGAATTAAACCTGGTTTAAAAGCAGCTCCAGCTGAGCTTTGTGTTTGGGATCTCAGGAGCTGCGAGAGATTTCACAAGGACACAGGAAAAGTTCCCAAGTTCTGTTTAAGAGGTTGTGTTTTGTGGGGTGAGCTCCTCTTTTACACCCCAATCTGAATTTCAGTGATTTTTAGTGTCACAAAAAGCCATTCAAGGTGCTGAAGGGGTCACTGAAGAGCAGAACGTTGATGTTTCATGGAAATAAAGTGCATTTTTCTGCTCTTTCTAAAAAGCAACCTCAAGTTATAGGAATTTATTTATTTATTTATTTTATTTTCCCCAGGATTGTCAAAAAAAAAGCAACCAAAATTCATCCCACTGATGGAAGTGACCAGGAGAGAGAGAGACACTTTTGGAGCAGCTTTTTCATGGTCTCTTTCCTCCCCCCCTTTTTTTTTGTTCCACATTTTGCAGTTTTTAATACAAATATTTCCTCCTGTTCCTGAAATATTTTCGATTTCTGGCCCCACACAGTAAAATCAGCACTTTGTGCACCACTCAAGGCTACCAGGTGTTCTGAAAGAGCATTTAAATGAAGAAATGGCATATTTTAAATAATTTTTTTTAACAAAGCAGATTAAGATGATTTTTTCAAGTTTGCAAATTATTCCAATTTCTCCCCTCCAGGTTATCCAAACTCCAACAGCATTTTTGCCTTTTTACTGCAACATGGTGGAACTGAAAGGTGCTAAAATGAATATTTTGAGATCATTTTCACTCACACACGAGCTCATGCACAGTTGGGACATTAGATTTGAAATCTATTTACAATTTTACATATTTTACAATATATAATTCATCTTTACAGCTACAGAATAAGTTCAGACTAACATTGGTATTTTTTTTTTCTGCTGGAACTTGGCTTCAAGTTAAACTGATTATTAAAAACAATTAAGTGCATGCTTAGAAGGGAACTTTCAGGATGTCAATGGACTAGTGTTGCTTAAAAATTACACCAGTTTGTGTAGAAAAATCGAAATTCAGTTCAAAAAACCCACCAAAGCCTAATAGAAACCTACAGGACTAAAATAAATACAATTCATTCCACTTAACCAAAAAAAAAAAAACCAAACCAAAAACCAAACCCCAAACCAAAAGTACCTTTAAAAATGTACTGATTTAAGCTCTTTAAGATTTAAATTTCCTTTCCTTCCCAGCTAGCTGAGGAGAATTATCCTGCATAGACCTGAGGCTGCAGGGGTGGGGGCAGCTTGTCATTCTCCACATTTTCAGAGTCAATGGCTGCCAAGGCTTGGCTTTTGCCTTTGATTTCTAAGGGATATTTCTCCACAATCTCCTCCACCTCCTTGGTGATGCCATCAGTCCAATCAATGAGGTCTTTCTCCAATTTCTTGGCTTCACTGACAATTCTTTCCTGTCTCTCATTCAACTGAGAGAGGAGGTCTAAGCTTTTGCACATCTGCTTCACCCCCAGGCACACATCTGGGGAGAAGCTGTCAGATTCCTGCTTTTTTGGGGATGTCTGGCCACTCATGAAACGATCAAAATCTTCCTGGCTCAGGTTGAGGGACTGAGCATCCAGTTTTTCAATGAAGGCCACGGCACAGCACTGCAAACAAAGCACAGAGAGCATCACTGCAAGAATCAGCACACACTAAAATG